CATGTTCATGATCTCCAGCCTCTTCACGCGCAACACATCCGTCCAGGAAAACATTCGTGGTCTACATGATCACTTGCATGCTGCGGTTCCTGGGTCATACCGCAAGTGCCCGCCAATGGAACTTGCGACGGCGGTGTTAGAGTGGATGATGATGCACAACGACTGGTCGAAAGTGGGCAGTGCATTGTTTGGGCAATATTCCATGGACACCGTCCAGGATACAAGTCAGCTGTACAAGGAGGGACTTTGTGCGCCTCCAGACGTATACAGCCACGGTTTGCCCACCCCCAGCTACGCTCCGAGTCTTGATTGCGTTGCGATCAAACTTCCCGTGCGCCCACCTGGTCTGGCCAGGGCATCAGACACGGCGGGGCACCTCGGGCATGCCGTCGGGGACCATCTCGTCACCGAAATGAGGGCATTCTCCGACCTCCACCAGACAAGTCGCTTCCGCCGCAAGCTCAGCACGTGGCAGACTACACGCGGAGAGTTTGGAGGAATCGGCTCAAGCCCCCAGACGGTGGCAACGCCATCCGACCACTCTGACGGCTGGATCACCCCCCCAGAGCATGGCGAGAGTCATTGGCAGCCATACGAGGAGGAAACTGTGCTCGCAGGAGAAGAGCCTACCGTGGAGGACCCTGGTATCACTCCTGGATCAGCCATAGACCCGCTCGGGCTAGCACAGGCAAAATACAGTGCGTTTTGTGGTGGTCGACTGGTTTCCGCTCTTCTTTCAGACAGCGGATGGCATGGGATCATACAGAGGGACTTGGGACTTCTCCTTCACCATGCCTTCGGCTTGCCGGGGCATGCATATGCATGAACAAATTTGTACACCGATTCTACGTGTATCATGCACAAGCAAGGTTCCAATCCGCCCCACACAAGAAGTATCCAGGGTACGGCATCGACGAGCTCAACAGCCCACAGCAGCGAGACGCCCTCGCCAGGGCGTCAAATTTTGGCCTTGTACCTCTCTTCGTGCCGTGCCTCAACCGAGCGGAGTACATGGGCGGCGCCACCCTCGAGCATCTGTCAATATTTATCCGTGGCGACATCCTGATGTGCGCGTTCCCATATGGCAATTACAAAGAATGGTTCAAGCAGAACGACACTCCGATCAGTCAGGATTGTGTTATATTGCCGGAGGCTGGTGGCGACACCCGCTGCGGCATGGCAAAGCTCCGCGAGCAGCCCGCCAGGACACAGGACAACCGCACCGCAGTGATCTTGGATTCGCAGTTTGAGTCTACGCTCGAACAGCGAAACATGATCCTCATGATCCGCAAGGCCAGAGCCTTGTCACTGATGGACGACAATCATTCAATGGCTGAGTGGCGTAAACTGAATGAACTCATATGGGACGATTGGGTTAACGACTTCCTTGCATACGTGAAACACAGGCACTACAGCAGGGGTATCAACGCCATGGTGGTCTGGAGCGCAAGCGATATTGCTTGCGCTAACCATGGTCAGCACTGGTTGGACACCCGACGCCACCAGGATCGCGCTCCCACCAACGTGCGCGGACTCATGAAGATGGAGTGCCAGGATGGCGCCCCGACGCTTACGCCAGTACACGTGCAAGTGGACTTGTCACGATTCATCGACGTGATGCAATACTTCCGTTGCCCCACCGTCATGGGGCCGGGCAAAGCAGCGCAATGGGGCGTACACCCTAATTTTGACCATCACACGAGCGACCTGACCAGGGCTATGCAATGTCGTGGTTTCACGGTGCTCCCTTCAGACCACTGGGTTGAGTCGTGCGACAGAGCCACGCCTACGGCTTGGCATTCTGAGCAGAATAATCACAATCTGGCAATGATGACGACCCAGTTTTGTGATGCGGTATGCTAGCGCAATTTCTGTGCGTTGATCCAGCCGTTACCATCACAGCCATATCCATTCCGACCTCTTCTTCTGACAGCCGTCACGGGTTCGCAGGCCTACACACAGGCCAAAGAGATCATGGAGGTTCTTCACTTTCGTGAGAAAATGACTAATGAATGGAAAAGGCACCTCAGCCTCACGACGCTGATGACTCAGACCGCAGGGGAGCTGGCTCATTGTGCATGGATGGCTTCCTGTGCCAGTGGCACGTTGCCGAAATCAATGCCGTTGGCAACAAGCGATCCATATTTGCCTATCCCTGGACTCGCAAATGAGCCGCCAGCACCAGATCCAGCGAAACCCAGTAAAATTGATGATCCATATGGTGAGGCATACGAGGAGTTGTTCAACCAGCTTCTTATCCTGATGAACGATTACCCGGGCGCGTGGGCATCCTGGGAGTCAGACGAGAAAAAGGAACTCCTTCACCCCGCAATAGTGAAGGAAACCAAGGACGCACATGCTGTCACATGGGTTGTCTACGAACAGTTCCTGCTCCAAATCAACGACACCGCAGGTGATGACGACAAAGCGAGGTTACGCCTCATTGCTGAGCGCAATATACTGAGCTCTCATCGCGTCGGTCCTCGCATTGGCAACTCGGATACCATTATGGCACGCAAAGGTTTCTTTCTACACGCAGAATGCCTTGGATCGCATCGCCATGGGGCTCCCGGCCGACGCTCCAGTCGCTGTCATCGTCGATGAGCCCGCCGCAGCCCCACCCGATGGCTCTGCGACAGCTGGGACACCCCAGCACAGTGAGGACAGGCAGCCCCTGCCGCCAGGCCCGCTCACGATCGACACGCCGCCTGAGCCACTGCCGCCATGCCCGCTCCCGATCGTCACGCCACCTGAGCCATTGCCACCAGGTGCGCTTCCGATCAGCATGCCTGCTGAGCCATTGCCACCAGGCCCGCCCCCGACCGCCGTGCCAGCCCCGCTCCCGGACGAGGGCGCTGACGTGGGCGGGGCGCGGAGCTGGGAGCAATTCCTGCTGACGGTGCGCCTTCGCCTGGTCAGCAATCGGATACGGTGCATATCCTGTCGTGGCAAGACTGGTGCGAGCGATCGTACCATGAGGGCACAATCCAAATCCCTACATTCGACAATGCATGCATTCCTCGTGAGTACAAGCTTCAAGCAGGTCAGGCGGATGATCATCCATATGCGCCGGCTCCGTTGCGGGGCACGAACGCACCAAATGGCATGGATTGCTTGAAGAACGATGATTGGGCGTGCCAAGTGGCATACGACGACTGCGTGATTACCCACGCGCCAGATATTGCCCAATCTGGCTGCTTCCCAGAGTAGAAATGGATGTCACTACCGCCATACGACCAGACTCGTTATGGTCCAGTGCTGCTTACGGATGAATGGATTGGTTGCCCTACATGCATGAGCAAGGATATCACGACCATGCTCCGCCATGCAAACCACAGCAACCCTTTTCATATTGACAAATTTCCGGACCGACGGGTCAACATATGGTCCACGAAGGCACAGCAGACCTGGACGTTTCCCAGCCGCTGGAAATCCTTCCAGGAAATGGTCCAATGGAAATTCGCAGAGCGACGTGGCCATTCCAACGGGCCATCCACTGAGGCGGCCGTGACACACTTTCACAAAGACGGCGATTACTACCCGATATTCATCCTCCGCGCGCTCCAGAAACACATCGACCCGGACAAGAATAGGATCGAAGTGTTCGCCAAATCGATTCCTGCCGAGGGCGACCCCAGCTGCTTCGATTGGAGCAGCGTCATTGCTATCCGATGCGTTGGGGGACACAGTTGCGCCAATCCACTCCCCAAGCCATGGAATATGGGCTGGGAGAGCTTACAATGGACAGACGTCAAATACCTACACCACGGCATGTGAATAGAACCCGTGTGATACCCTCATATATACTCCTTATCCTCACTCTCCTGCGCCTGGCCGTTTGGGCTCAGGTATTGGAATATATCGATTAGACCTTTGATCGTGCAGGAGGAGAAGATATCCATCTTTCCCTCCTTTCCTCGACCAACGGATCAGGGGTTCTGTACTTTTGTACTCCAGCCCCATACACACCTCCTGCTCCTCCACCTCCGTTGTACTTTCCTCCTCTCCTTGTCCTCCTCCTCATTCTCCTCCTCCTCATTCTCCTCCTCGGTGCCTTCTTGTCATCCTTCCCCTTCTCCTTCGCCTCATCTACCCCCTCCTCCTCGACCCCGTCCTTTTTCCCTCGCCCCCCCCCCCCCCCGTATCACATTCCTTCATCAGGAGAGACATAGACAGGCACACATAAACGTCGGTGCCCAGGAACAGATGAGAAAATTCTGGACATGGAGAGGGGCACAACAATCACAAAGATGCGGAGAGAGCGTTGGGATCCTGGAATTTGCGCGTGTTTGTATGTGTCTCCCTGGGTTCCTTTACTTCTGGCCTTGCGTCGCCTCTGTCATCCCTCTGCGCGCGCGCTCCCGCGTGAGCACGGAGGGAAGGAGGGAGAGAGGGAGGGGCGAGTCGGGCCCTTGTACGAAAGGTCTTCGGCTGGTGAAGCAGTTGGCGACAAGGATAAGTGAGGAGAGACGGATGCGGTCGGAAACTTTTGGTCAGCGTGTCGCGCCGCCGGTCTTGGCCCACCACGATTCGGCGCGACACGCTGTCCACTTCCTGGCCCCCGGGCGTCCACTTCACGAGCTTTTCCCAGTCTCCCGCCCCGCGGAGCGGAGCGACACGCTATCCGCTCGCTGGGCATAGCGTGTCGCCTTTGCCGCCGCGGCAACACGTTGAGCAAGAGTTCTTGATTGTGGGGAGGGCAGACGACTCTCGAGGGAAGAACGGGGATGAGGTCCCGCCCGGCCCCCACAGCGGGCACCTGAGGGAGGTGCTCGCAGAGGGGGGCGGGGAATTGGGTGGAGGAGGAGGAGGGGGAGGAGGAGGAGGAGGAGGAGGAGGAGGAGGAGGAGGAGGAGGAGGAGACGTGAAGAGGAGGGGGGGAGGGAGGCTGGAGGAGCAGGATGAGGAGGGATGGGTGGAGGGGTGGAGGGAGGGAGAAGTGGAAGGCGGGAGGGAGGGGGGGAGGGAGGGGAGCGGTGGAGGGAGGGAAAAGGGCACAGGACGCCCTGGAGCTGGTACGCGAGCACCTCTTCCACATCATCGGGCAGCGGGGCAGCACCACCTTTGCCACGGGGACGGCCGTGGTCCAGATATCCCTCTTCCAGGCCTCTTGATCCTCTTCTCTCCTCGCTCGCCCCCCCCAGGACCCAGTCGGCAGGGGGACATGGCTACCACGCCCCTGGGGGGCCGCGAGTCGTTTCTTCTTGTTGCTTCATGGCAGCTGCTAGTTTGACCCCCCCCCCCGGGTCTTTCCGCCCCAGAGGGGGGGGGGCGTGTCCTCGGGGACCCGAATGCGCGCAGCGCCTCAGCGCCTCAGGAGGCGAGGATCAATCCAGGATCAAGGTTTGTTCCAGGCCATTGTGTGCCCCCAGGGGCGCCTTCGTGGCCACGGCTGGATCGGGCTCAACATGCTGCCCAGAATGTGCACCTGCTTGGGACAGACTTTCCCGGGAGGGCCCAGTCCTCCGACGTAGATGTTCACAGCAGGTTTTGGCGGTGTTCCGAGATTTGTTCGGCATCCGCGGGGCCGGTGTCGGGCCCCGGGGCCATCAGACGCGGACCAGGGATGAACATCTCGAGTAGGAGATCGGCTGCAGAGTCGATGCATCCCAGAAACTGGTGTCTTCGTCGAGTGTGCGAAACTGTGTAACATGTCCGTAGATCTACGAAGATGTTGTGTATGTTTCGTAGAGTCTACGATGCAATTTTGGTACACCAATTTTGCAGTCGATCTCCTACTCGAACAATTAGACACGTAAAACAAAGGTGTCGTCTTCGCATACATTGGCGCGTAAGCTGCCCGCGTAAGGTCGCGCGTAAGCGCCCCCGATTCCAATGTGGCGGCCGCGCTGGCGGCCCGCGTAAGCTGCGTTGCAGGGTCGCCATGCCATCTCGCGTAAGACCCGTTTCCTCTCGTCGCCCGCTTTCCGTTGGGGAAGGTGTCGGAAGCGCGAGGGGAACCAAACTCGCGGCGGCGGCATCGGGCCAGATGTCAGTGTTTCTTCCCCCTTCTGCTCCACCTCCTGGTTGATCTTCCCAAAGCTGTTGGCGTCGCGTGCGCTGGATGCGAGGGGTTCTAGCCAGTTTGCACATTCGCACAGCGTTGCAAATTCTCCTGCTCTTCCCCCTGCCCCCAAGACCCCCATCCAGAGCGTCATCTTAGCTCCTTTTCCATGCCGCGTCCATCCAGCCCTGCCAGGTGGGGTCCGAGTAGATAGGGTCGGAGGGACGCGCCGCCTCGCAGATGCATGGGCGATACGGCTCGAAGTAGAAACCGATTTTCTCCACGCCGACGTCGCCGATGCATTGCCGATGTATCGTCTATGCATCGACGATGCGGCGCCATCCTCCGACCCGCTCTTCTCGGACCCCCGTTTGGGAGGCCTCTTGCCTGGCCGTGGCGACACGGGCCCCGTTCCCAAGGCCCAAAACAGGAGGAGAAGGAGGAGGAGGAGCAGGAGGAGGAGAAGCTGGATGGGGGATCGAGGGAGGAAGGGAGGAGGATCGAGGAGGAGGTGGAGGAGGAAGAGGAGGAGAAGGAGGAAGGGGCAGGTGGAGGGGGAGGGGGAGGGAGGGAGGGAGGGAGGGGGAGGGAGGAGAGGGAGGGAGGGATGAAAGGGAGGAAAGGGAGGAAAGAGAGGGAGGGAGGGAGGTTGGTTTCTTTGCTTGGTGCCTGGAGAGGCGAGTACTGGCGGAATTGCGGGCACAACATCCTTGTTGGTCGCCCCCCGGGCGGGCGCGCCCCGTCCCGTGGCGTCCCGACAGGCCTGGCGCGTGCCCCACCTGCCACAAGAGTCCGAGAACGTGGGCGGCGGGCGGACGAGGGGCGGAAGGCCACGTGGCGGCGATAGAGACCCCCCACCGCATCGAAAGCCCAACACAGCACAGCATGGAAGCAGCATCATTCCCGAAGGGCCGGCCATGAGTGGCCCTGCCCCCAGCCTGGCCACTACAGAGCGATCCACAGCTGAGCAATGTGTCACCGGCCATGGCCGTTCCAGCCCGAAGCCCGGGCCGGAGACCCATTCCTGAAACGCTCCGGTGGGGATGTGCGGAGCAGGCGCGGGCCGCCTGAGGGGCTGAGGGGGGAGCGTAAATTGATCCAGCCCGGCCTCGGTGAGGTCCCGTGAGGGATGCCGCGATTTTCCCGTGCTGCGGGGGACAGGAAGTGTGGATCCGCCCCGGACGATAGAAGGCCTGCTCGGGCGGGAAGGGAGGCGGGGGTAGGATAGTGATCGCTCTGCCACGTCACCCTGCCTGGTCTCGCCTGTCCGTTACAGGAGGGGAAGGAGGGAGAGAGGGGCAGGAGAGGAGGAGGGGGAGGAGATGCCAGATAGAGGGGGTGCGAGAGGCAGTGGGAGGTGAGGGGTCGTCGCTCCGACTCGCCCCGCGTTGCCCCCTTGTTTCGCTCTCGCCTGGGAGCCGTTTCTAGCGAGCCCAGGCCCAGCGCGCAGCAGAGGCGTCCAGGTCCTTTGCTCACACGGCCCCCGCCTGGTAATCAGCTTCTCCCGCGCGCGCAGCAAGAAGTTGCCTCAGGAGGCCTTCTCAGCTCGCGCATTCTCTGGCCCCGCGGAACCTCGAGCGTTCGGCCACCAGGGCCCGGCATTGCTCCAGCGCGTGACGTGCGTCCCCCCGGGGATGTCCTAGTCGCACCAATGCAGTGTTGCCGCTTCGCCAGCGATGTCTGACCTTCTTTGTTCATCAGCCGGATGCGATGCGCACTGTGTTTCGCCAGTGAACGCTGCCCCTAGAGAGCCATCCAGGACGGGCCGGCCTTGTGGGCGCTCACGAGACAGGGGTCGGGTTCTGGTGAGGTTGAAACCCCTTCGCCTTCGCTTCCCCACACGGCAAATCTAATCTTTCCACCGAGGGAGCATCTCTAGTGATCGCAGTGCATACGATGTGGGGCAGCTGTGGGCCCGCCGGAACACTGCCCCATCGATATTTGATTCGCAAGCGGTCCAGAGGGCGGCCCTTTTTCGTAGCCACGTCTAAGATCGCCCCGCCTGCGCCCGAAAACGCCCAGCCCAGGTCTGCCCCAGCCACGGCTTCACTCCGCCAAACAAGCGCCTCCAAGAATGCGAGGCCCCATTCGTGGCACTGGGCGTCCAGCTTTTCCTCCGACCCCGGCGCGAATGCAGGAGCGGAGGGAGAGGAGGAGGCGGAGGAGGAGGAGGAGGACCACGAAGGTAAGGATGATGAGGAGGAGGAGGAGGAGGAGGAACAAAAGGAGGAGGAGGAGGAGAAGGAGGAACAGGACGAGGAGGACTAGGAGGACGAGGAGGAGGAGGAGGAGGAGAAGGAGGAGGGTTGGAGAAGGGTTGGAGGAGGAGGAGGAGGAGGAGGAGAAGGACGAGATGAGGACAAGGAGGAGGAGGAGGAGGATAACAAGTGTAAACCCAAGATCCATGTAGGAATAATTCCTCCCTCCAAGCTCCCTTTTCAAAGGCGCGTACAATGGTCAATTCCGCTCAGGGAAGTGCCCCGTTGGGAGCCAGACGTTGGAAGATCCTGAAGCGTGCCGAAACACCATTCTCGCAACTGCAACGAACCAATTTGACTGTTGCGTATATTGACCATCTCGAATCTGGCAAGAAAACCATTCGAGCCGACCTAACTGTTGGGCCTGACAACCCTTAACCGTTCCAAGAGAGAGTTTCTGGTACGTTAACCTTGGGAACCCTTGGTACTCCTTGCAAATTCTTGAAACGAAAGCGCGTGGTGCTAAGGCGAGAGCAACATTCTTATATCTAACCGCCCTGAATATGTAAACGTCTTGTATTGTGTGCAACGAATGCGCGCGGCGCTAAGGCGATCATAACACATTCTGAAGACGGCAAGCTAGAATCCGTGAAGGGTTTGTAAATGTTTAAGACGAGTGTGTGTGTGTGTGTGTGTGTGCGGTGATACGGCGCGGGGCATATTTTGAAGACGGCCCGCCGTCCATCCGTGAAACCAGTGGCAATGTTAACACGGATGTGCGCGGTGCTACAGTTAGAACCACAGTTTGAAAGCGGCCCGCCCTCAGTTCGTGAAACTTCTGCCCCATCCGTGAAGTTCTTGCAGAGCTTTAAGACGAATGTGCGCGGCGCTACGGCCAGAGCCACGTTGTGGAAGCGGCCCACCCTGAATGTGCGAACAAGCATACGCTTCAAACTCACAAATAGTGAACATATCTCAGGCGAAACGCTTGGCCCGCCCTTCCGACTGGCTTCGGGGTGCGGCGACAGGGAGGATTCATTCATCCGGAAAAGGGTTGGAGGGAGGGAGGGAGGGACGGGTGGACGGGGGGAGGGAGGGCGGGAGGGAAGGAGAGAGGGAGGGACAGAGGGAGAGAAGGATGGATGGAGGGAGGGAGGGAGGGAGGAGGAGGAGGGGGAGGAGGAGGAGGAGGACGAGGAGGAGGACGAGGAGGAACAGGAACAGGAGGATAATGGGGTGGGGGAGGAGGGGGAGGAACGGCAGACAAGGCACGGATTGCGCAATCGGGTAGTCCCGCGTCGCTTGTTGGCGGGGCGCCTTTAGGGCGTGGAGCGCCTCCCTGGAAGCCGCCATGTGGATTGCCTCTTGGGGGCCCCCAACTGGTGTGCTGACCACACGGTATGGTGGGTCCATGTGGGTTCGGGGTCGTCGCGCGGCGTTGGGACTTAGGTCGTTTTCTGAGGACATCTCGGGCGACTGGAGCCTCCGAGGTCCCACGACCGTGCGGTGACGGACCGCGCGGTGAGGTCGTTGGGGATTCCAGGGTCACCACGCGGTCCGTCACTTCGCGGTGTTGTGGCCTTGCAGTTCCGTTTTGGGGGCCTTCCGAGGACAGCCTAAATCACAGTCGAGCTTGACGAGTGCGTTGACCTCGCGAATTCAAGCCGAAGGAGGGAGGAACCCTCCGACACCAAATACTCGACGCGGAGATCCCCATATATGCATCTCATGTTGATGGCACACTTCGCTAGGAGACAGTGTTCTTTTCAGTATCTGATCCGAGTGTCAGCGAATACATGTGGAAGACGAGGGCGCGAGAGACGCCAACGACTACGACGACTTCGGCTACTTCCTCCTTCCTTCCTCCTCCTCCTCCTCCTTCTCCTCCTCTTCTCGTCCTTTT